TAAAATAAAAAATTCTTCAAAATAAAAAATTCTTAGAACTAACATTTCTTAACATTTTTTATGTGTATACGCTACGTGGTCGCCAATAAAGTCTGCTTGGCGAGATTTGCGCCGGCGAAACGGAAAAGTACCGATTATTTTTTCTTCTTTTTATTAAATTTAACCAGGAAGCTTTGTTTTCTTTGTGAAAAGATTCGGGAAAAGTCAAATTCTGCTCTGTCGTTCTCTTTTCAAAGCTTGAATTTCGAAATGAACATTTTAGAAAGAATTTTCTTTGTCTCGGTTGCTAGGAGGTGAATTGGAGCACGTGACAAGAGTCAAGGGTAAATGGTTGTCTTGCGAGTAAAGGTCAACACGATTGGCGAAGGAGGAGGTCCACTTTGGCTTCTGGTCCTGACTAATTGCGCTTGCGAAGATAGGCTATTTTGTGTATTTTGGCGAAAAGGTGGAAAAGGTGAAAAATCAGCCCTCAGGGGGGCGGGATGTTTGAAAATTATGGTTTGGGGAATTTTGAATGATTTTGAGAAAAGTTAGAAACTGCGCACTTCACTTTTGCTGGGAGTGAGGGGGATTTATTTTTCGTGCCTTGTTACACTAGTGGAGACGACATGTGAATGCTTTCTATTCCTTCGACTGGATGGATCTTCAGTTAATTTCATGAACAAAATGTCAGTTTCGTTCTGGAGATTTGATAAAAGATTGCTAAGTGTCTGCGTCGCCTATTTCTTCAACTTCTAGATAATTGCCTACTATTGTCGTGTAGGTACCATTTTTGAACAACAATGGCGTCTCCTGCCTGACTTCGTGAGAAGGAAAAGGCTGCTCCAGCGCTCTGAAGGGGAGATGGACCAATCCGAAAGCATCTTAGACTGACGCGGAGGAAATTTCTTCGCCTTAACCTGAGTGAATTTGCCTGATATCTACCTGAAAGATGATACCTTTATTTAACGTTTCGCTGATGACTCCAGCACTGTTGGGGATCAATAACTACGGCTTCTTGAGGGCAAATTTAATGTGTCGAACAACTATATGATAAGTACCTTTGTAAGGATTAGGTTAATTTTATTAACAGTTAAATTTTGAGTTAAACTTTCTTTCCTATCGATTCTTAATTTCAACTTACCACTTCCGGCCAGAACGTAGTTTAGAATCACGTCTGAATACTGATGAGGAAGAGCGGTATTTAACCGCGACGTTCTACGGTCTTAGTGAGAGAGATACCAGATATTCTGGCTGCAAGTGTCCGCCTTTTTTAGGATACTTTCTCGTAAGCAATTATTACGCTCGGCCGTACTTTAGGTCCTTGATAGCTTTGCAGCCAATTAGCGTTAAGGGGCCAACTCTGTTAGAATCATGATAGCTTCGGCTACATCTCTTCAGTTAAGATTAGTTTAGCTTAACTTTTAGTCTCTTAAGTTCAAGCCCAAGTGTTGGCTTTATTGTACAACTCCAAGACGGAGTTTTGTTACACTTGATTGGAATAATAAAAGGTTATTTTACCCTTCTATCTTGTTGTTTCCTGTCACACGAACTCAAGCGATTATTCGCTTATCAGTTTCTAAGATTCTTCCCTTCCAACAGTAATTTAGGATTACACAGTGGAGAATCCTACAACCTTATTTTTCCTTCTTCTTTACTCATGAATCCAAGCTAGAATTTCATCTGTACACTATTAACTTGTCACTAGCGTTTAATGGAAAACAAATTTAAAAATAACCAACCGAAGCAGGAACTTTGACTGCAGAATTTGTTTATTACTGTATTACCCTGTGTCTTCTTCCATGCCTAATATTAATTGAAAATGTGTTTGGCTGAATGCTCTATATTCGTATTAAAACTGTTTTACTCGCAACCTGTCAAAATGTGTAACCAAGAAAGAGATGAGAATGTATTTCCTTATACTTTACTTGATCTCGTGATCGATGAAAGAACAAAATGTGTGCACCCCTAGTTTTATATCCTATGGTTATGTTCCTTTCAGTAAATTTTTAATCTCTGCTTCTAACAGAAATTGAATTATAACTAGAAAAATAACTGAATAATATTTGGGAAATTTAATTGAATAGAAATTGAATGATAATTAGAAAATTTTAGAAAGTAATTATTAATTAAGAATGATAGCCATGAACTTTAAATAATTATTGGTGAGATAGATAGGATTCCTGGATTGTATAAGAAAGAAGATAATAATTGTACTACATTTTTCGCTCCTAGAATGGAAATATGCTAATTAACTGTTAATATGTATTATGTTTTTTTGTGTATTGTTATTGTCATTTAACAGATCTTTTACTGGAGCACGGTTCCGGCAGGTAAAAAACACACAACGCAAGTATTTCGACGAAATTCCGATCACAAATATTAAATTGTTCAGTATTTAATTTTTATCCTTACTTTAGGTTTTGATTTAGCTGAGTCCTTTATTAGTTATACATATCTGGGAAAACCACTATATTACCTTTTAGTATTATTAGTGCTAGATTAATTTTAAGATACTCATTTTTTCAGCTTCGGATTCACTTGTCAGTACTGTGTCGGTACTTTATTTCGGTACCGTCCGTGGTACTGTACAGCGCCCCCATGCCGTACGGACACTATACATTTACAAACATCCATGTCTTCTCCTGGGTTCGAACACGGGACCTTAGGCACAAAAGTCAGCAATGCTAACCACTAATACCGATTGAGCGGCTAAAGTTGTTATAATATTAAATTTTCAATATTTTCCTTTTCCTTACATAATTTGCTAACTTCAAAGCAAATTTGTATAAAAAAGGTTTTTGTATAAAAATAATTATGATCGCTTCAGTAAAAGTCCGGCTTATGGCTGGGATTTGAGTCCATGATCCTTGCAGCATATTTTTATATTAATTTCTATCCACTTAGTTACAGAACCTGCTATCGTCGTCAAATAATTTCCGTTTCAGGAAGGAATTCAGATGAATCGACGTTGTAATCCGAGAGAGCTATCGCTTTAACTATGTGGTATAGACTACGTAATTTTCCTTATAATCTCTTAATGTTTTCACCGCTTAATAAAATCCACTTGTCAACAACTATTTTGATAAAATAACCGAATTATCATATCTATGCGGAGAGAAATACTACTAAAAAACTTAGTTCAGTTTGATTAATAAACGGCACTGGAAAAAAAAACTTATAAATACATATATTTACATGATTTTAGTTAGAAATAAAACTGAAAATTTCATTAATACTGGGCTGGTTTCAAACGTAATTTCAGAGTTCTTTTATAAATCGTTCGTATTGATGCAATTTCTCAAAATTCTCTGATTGACGTTGTACGTTAACTTTAACTAGAGAAGCACTTCTCTTACGTTAGCACGAGTAGTGAATTCCTGAAATATTTTCTCACGCTTTTGTTGACAGTATTTATAATACTGATAACTCAAGTTTTGCAGATCTTGTTTAACCTAAAATGTCCACTAAAAACATTTTACTTGAATTTCTTCGAGAAAGCGGATGGCAAATATCTTCATCTAACGTCAATACTTCTACTTGAATCTTTTCATCAAAATGCGAACAAGCCTTTATTCCCAATTCTATTTTCTACTTCAGTGTCTTCTGTTTTATCTTTCCTCCTTATTATACCCGATATTCTTAAAGTAGTTCTCTTCTCTGTTCTTCCACGCGGTTCCAAGATATAATCAGCCAATATTATGCACTCAGTAGAATAATTACCCGTGCCAACTAGTTGCCACTTGTACTCATATATTCTTTTTGCAAAGGATTTTAATGCTGGTCTTACAAGGTATTTCTCCCGCCTTCGTAGTGTAGTGGTCTGCATGCTGGGCGCGTATTCCAGAGGTCCGTGGTTCGATTCCTGGAGAGGGAGTTGCTCAGTTCTCATCTTTCCTGCTTCCAAAATACCTAATGTCTCTACAGTGGCGCCCGAACTAAAAGGGTGGTGGATGATGATTTTCCACACTCAGGATTTGGCGATTGGGTCCCCTAAAAACACTCCAGTCGCCCTTTAAAAGGGGGAGTATATAAGGTATTTCTCACCCCCTTCCTTAGCGTGCCTTCGTGGTGTAGTGGTCTGCATGCTGGGCGCGTATTCCACAGGTTTGTGGTTCAATTCCCGGCGAAAGCGTTGCTCCTTTTTCATGACTCCTGCTTCCGAAAAAATACCTAATACTGCCAAAAAATCCTTGCAGTGCTGGAATAATCTCTTGGTCACGCAGCTTGATCAAGTACGTGTTCTTTGGTAGATAGAATAAACACAAATTTTACATGATTCGGATAGAAATGCTTTTGACGTTGTGCACAAGTCATTTAGGGAAAATGCATTTTTCTTCAAACCTTTATTCCATTTCAAAATCCACTAAGTAAAAACAGCTAGCTTTTACACTTAACTACTTCACTTTTGTTAAACCAAAATCGTTGAGATATTTCAGCATGTTAATCAACTAACTGATTAAAATAGTAATAAATATTGAATCTCCTGCCTAATTATATAGTATATTTTATAGAATCAATAAATGAATGAATTAAATTAAATAATAGCAAAATTCGTTTGTAATAGCTGAATGATAACATTCATTACTAAGTTACATTTAACATTAACATTCATCACACTAAGTTACGACTGCTGCATTACATAAAAGACGAAATTTTTATGAAGTGCAATATTCGCAATTTAGGAGGCAATTTTTCAGAGTCTTAAAGTAAAGTAGTGGGCGACGATCATAAGTAAACGATATTGTATCACTACTGTGATTTAGAAAAATATGTGGCCAGTATTTAACATAATCAAAATATTTTTTACAGCAAAGCTATAAATAACAAATATACATTAATATAGAAAGTAATACACAAAAAAGCAAAATACAATTCTGTGTATAAAAAATATAGGGGAAACTTGTGAGAATTTTATAAATTTATTTTTGTTTCCAATAAACACATTTCATTTGATCTCTTGTCGTGATAAATTTTACACAAGTTATCTATTAATGCTTTCAAATTAGAAACTTACTTACCATTGCAAGAATAACCATCTATACTGATGGTAAGATGTGGTGGACAAATGCAGTAATAAGCCATATTTTCCAAGTCCAAATACACACAAAGGTGCTGGCAACCGCAACCACTTTGAGCCGGAACCACAATCACCGAGCCATCTCCATAATTGGAACCTGCTTCGACAACAGCTCTGATGGACCCAGGCATAAGATATGATGTGCCACCATTCCCATTAATGTAAGGATCATCCTCTGATGCATCGCCACCTGTAATTAGACGAAACACAACATATAATAAAGTTATAGTTTAAATAAGGTTATAGTTAAATAAGGTGGAGAAATATTCAAAGTTCAATTCAGATTTCGCTGCATAGTAAAAATGCCAATTAAAATGTCCTGACAAAATAATACTTATTTAACAATTAGGGACAGAAAACTGAAAGGTTCGCATGAAATTCCTGGAAATACAGAAAACAGCTGTGCTTGACCTTTATCATCGATTGAAGCAGGATTTATAGCTCTTGCCAAAGCAGCAAAAAAGAATGAAAGATTTCAGATTTTAAATTACGTTCAAAGGGGCGTTTTTTTTTAATATTTTGTCTGCTACCTTTATTTATAAAATATCACGTTCTTCGCCCTTAAACCATAAAATTCAATTCAAGAGCAATATCGCAAAACAGTTTTAAACTAAGCATATCTTTAGAATTTCCGATACGCAGTCTCACACGCTGGAGATAAAAATGTTTCTTCTGTACAACGTTGCCATTGCTCGCTTTGAAATCCTTGAGATTGTTTAATCAAAAAATCGTTAAAGATTTACAAAATATTATAAAACAAATTCCAAATTTTCAATTTGGGCTACCACATGCCCTTATTCACAGTAGGATAACGTCATTCAAAATTGGATGGCTCTAGGTACCGTTGTTTTATCACTTTGTAAGAAATATACATACATTTATGCAGATTTTTCACTATTTAATTTCTTCAAATATAATGCAGGACTCTAACATTGGGTGGCGACAGTTTGAAAAGTGAAACGGACATTTATAGTGATTCAACGCGAAATCGCAAAAACGAAAACGATAGTTCTTCGGGGTTTTTGGACTAAAAAGGCAAAATGTTTCTTAAAAAAAACTTTGCAAGTTTTCCGCGAAAATGAGTTCGTGTGCATTTACAGTGAGAATCAAATTTGCATCAAAATTAAGATACAATAACGCGCCGAACAAATATTAATTTAGAAGTCAAACAACAAAAATCAGCGTTATATGTTCAAATTTTCACAGTAACGCTGATTTTTGTTGTTTCACTTCTAAATTAATATTTGCATCAAAATGTTGAACAGAAACAGAGGCAGTGGAACAACTAAAGATAATTACTTTGCGCCGGATCTTGTGAATCATAAGGATATGAGTTCCGGTATCTTTCCCCAAAAATGACAGGAGATATTTTAACTAAACCATTTCAGACTTTCAATTGTGGTATATCAGGGACCCAAGATAAACCGAACCGGGCTGTGGGTGAGGATTATGTTGGACCACCCGATTTTGATTAATTGGTCGTGTGTATATCAAAAAAAGTCAATTTTTGTTCAGAATTAATCACTGAAAAAGAGCGTCGTTATTAGCCCAGAGTGGCTATTAATTTCCTTTTGGCATTTTGCGTTTATTTATCATAAATGTCGGTTCACTTTTCAAATTGTTGCCACCCAATATTAGAGCCCTGTATTATATTTAAAGAAATTAAATAATGAAAAGTCTGCAAAAATGTATGTATGTTTCTCGTAATGTGATAAACCAACGGTACCTAGAGCCATCCAATTCTGAATAACGTAATCCTCCTCCGAATATGGGCATCTGGAAGCCCTAATTTGGAATATGCTTTATTATCGATTTCATAGTTTGTCAAACATTAAAGAATTTTTTCTTAAAAAACTCAACGATTTCAAAGCAAGCAATAGCAACACCGAAAAAAAAAAAAAAAAAGAATATCTCCAGCGCGCGATATTGTGTAGTGGAAATTCTAAAGATATACTCATTTTAAAATTATTTTGTTAAAAATAATTCCTCTTGAATTAAATTTATGGTTTCAGTGCGAAGATTATGATGTTTAACCCATTCCCTGCATGATCCCCATATGGGGATCGCCTACATTTGTATACATTGTGACGTCATGCTGCACCTGGGTGGTCCCTTACGGGTGGTCATGCTTTCCTGAAGATTGCAACTAAGGGTAGAAATCTTAAACAAACACGTGGACTCAGTTAGTGGAGCTAACGAGTTTATTTTTCTTGCTCTCTCGTTACTTTTCACGAGAAAAATAATACGGTTATTTTCAAAGCACAAAATCTTTACTTAGGAAACAATTATTTTTGTTGTACTGAATTTCCTTGATCATTGGTAAGTAATTAATGTATTTATATATTATTTATCTTATACTGTAATTTGGATGGGTACAATGAACCTAGACATATCGATCCCCATTTGGGGATCATGGCTGATACTGACTAAAATTGTAAAAAAAAACTGTTTTTCTTTTTTTCCAGGAAATGTCTCGTAAAAGATATCTTTCTTTAAAAGAAATTGTAAATTCTGATGATTTTTTTTCATCTGACGATAATAGCCCCATAGATATTGTTGAAATTCCACCAGAGCGGGTTGATGAGATTTCAGATAATGAGGACATTTGATGACAACGTAATTGATGATGAACAACCACTTGATGTTCCCAACTGTGTTGAAATTCACAGTGTGGCAGGATTTGAGAAAATGTTTTAGTGAATGCCACTGAATCTTCAGCAAATGAAGTAACAAAAGGTACCGGCTTACCACCTGCTAAAAAGAGAAAAGAAGTATTGACTTCCAATTGGAAAAGGAAGCAACCTAAGTACTTGAAACTATATGAAAATTCTGACGTTATAGAGACAAAGCAAAATGATGTCATTAGAAAACTCAGGGGAAAATCCCTGGTAGAGTGTTTTGAAATACTTTTTGATAATGAAACTGTCACTTATATTATCCAGCAGTCTGTAATGTACGCCAGACAGGAAAACAATCATCAATTTCAGCTTTCTAATAACTGCCTAAAAAAATTTGTTGGAATACTTCTTTTCACCGGCTATCATTCGCTTCCGCAAGAACAATTATATTGGTGTGAAGATGAAGACATGAAAATTCTGTGTGTTAGAGCATGCATGAGTCGGAAAAGGTATCTGGAAATTAAACGGTACCTACATATCAGTGACAATTTCGATTTAGAAAGGATTCCACTAGGTGAACGTAATAACCTCTTCAAGATTCGTCCATTAATTGACAAGCTGAATGATAAATTTCAACAATTTGGGGTGTTTTCTGAAAGTTTGAGCATTGACGAACAAATGGTTCGTTACTATGAACGTCACTACCTCAAACAATTTATACGTGGTAAGCCAGTGCGGTTTGAAGGCAAATCAAAGAAATTAGGATATGATGAAAGCATCAGTGGGCTTGGGACATCTGTTGTCCTTCAGATGGTATCTATTCTTCAGACACCAAATGCTCATAAAGTTTACTTCCACAATTTTTTCACAGGATTTTCTCTGATGAAACATTTGCATGACATTGACGTTAGAGCAACAGGAACTGTTCGATTCAAGAGAATGAACAAATGCCCTATTGCAACAGACAAAGAGATAAGGAAAAAAGAACGCGGGCATATGACTACAGATTTGATTCCCGTAATGAAATTTTAGCTGTCACGTGGAATGACAACAGTTGTGTAAGGCTTCTGTCTAATCATGAAACTATCGAACCAATATCAGAGGTGAAGCGATGGAGTAGAACAGAGAAGAAAGATATTCAAGTACCACAACCCAAACTGATATCAGAATATAACAAATACATGGGTGGAGTAGACAAGATGGATTGGAATGTTCAAAAATACAGAATCAGAATAAGGGGGAAAAATTGTATTTTCCTTTGCTTACTAATGCCATCGACGTAACACTGGTTAACGCTTACGCACTGTATTGTATTTCAAATGATAAAATTCCATTGCTAGATTTTAGGAGGATGGTTGCTAGAGGATATCTTGCTTTATCTTCAGAACTCTCAGATGCAAAAATGGGTGGAAGGAATTCTTTCACTAAAGCATCAATTAATCGTGTTCCCACTGTTATCAGAACATCTGGTAATCATTATATTGAACGGACCGAAAATGGTAAACAAAGAAAATGTGCAGTGTGCAAAACAAAAGAAAACAATGTGGAAAATGTAATGTTGGATTACACGTAGACTGTTGTGAAAGCTGGCATTAAAAGTAGATAGTATCAGCCATGATCCCCATTTGGAGATGGGACTTAAATTTAAAATTTCTGAAAAAAATTGACACATTTATGAGAAAAAGTTTTTCTTATTATTTAGATGTAAACTAACAGAAATAATTAAGACACAATAACACGCCGAATAAATACTAATTCAGAAGTCAAACAACAAAAATCAGCGTTATATTTACAAAATTTTCACAGGACTAGTTTCGATGGTCTTACCGAACCACTATCCTCAGCTGCACGGTTTTGCAGCTGAGGATGGTGGTTCGGTAAAACCATTGAAACTAGTCCTGTGAAAATTTTGTAAATATAACGCTGATTTTTGTTGTTTGACTTCTGAATTAACAGAAATAAAATAAAAATTGATGAAATCAAAATTTGGCAGTTAGTGGGTTAATAAATAAAAGTAACACACGAAACGTTAAAAAAACTCGTTGTAAAATCTGAAAGCTTTCTTTTTCTTTTTTTTTTTTTCTTTAAGTTTTTATATTTTATCTTCTTAGTTCTTAGGATGCAATGGTTAAAACAGTTCTTTTCTATTAATCGAAAAGTAATTAAAGTACTTTTTTAGCCGCGTGTGATTGTCTCTAAATTTCAGTTAGAATGCGATCGTCACTGTAATAATTATTTTCCTCGTGTCTATTTTTCTCCTTAAGAAATGCTGTACTTTAATGCTTCATTTTAGATGTGAACCACTGTTACTTCTTTCAGTTGCTAATATGCACGCACCGCTGAGACTATTAGTAAATTTCCAGCATTCATGTTTGTATCATTATATCACCATGATTAAGTTCCTAATAACACCCTACTTAAATCAATTATTAGGTACAATGTATTCCTTTCCATCATAAAAAGCCATGAATTTACATAGTACATGTGCTCCTTCTTTTATTCACTTTTAAGGAGCAATAGCGCGAGATTATAAGTGCAATCTTCCTCCTCCGCTGTAAAGTCTCTCAATAAA